GCAGGGCCTCGGCTGAGCACCAAATGCTTGCCCCCCGGGGGGTTGTCTTGCTGCGGCCGGCAGCCGTCATCCTGGCCTCCTACGGCGCTGTGGGCCAAACGGTGTGGGGCATGAGGTCCCCAGGGGGCCGGAGGAAAGCGGTGGGCACGTGTGGCTCCCACCTGACAGCAGTTTGCTTGTTCTACGGTTCTGCCACGTACACCTACCTGCAACCCACACGCAGCTACAACCAGGGCCGAGGCAAATTCGTTTCTCTCTTTTACACCGTGCTCACGCCAGCCCTCAATCCTCTCACCTACAGTCTCAGAAATAAAGAAGTGAAGGGGCAGCGAGGAGGCTTCAGAGAAGTGTGGGGAGGCGGCAGGACCGGCAGCGAGTGGGCTCAAGGATGGAAATGCCTCGTTCGTTTTCGAATCTGCAAGATGTGTCCCAGCGAGTCCACGGTAAATGGGGAATTTCTCCCATCGGGTGAGGCTCAGACAGCTGAAGTGTGCTTTTATGTTTGTACCTGTTTGGGGAAGGGAAAGGGGGCCTTCAGGCTTTCTCCTAAGCTGAAGAAAGGAAGCATGATTCGGGGAACCTTCCTCGTCTTCAGGGGATACCATAAGCACCCCTTCACCCAATCTGATGGAAAACTGTGGAAGAGCTACAGTCTCTGCGATTGGGGATCCTTAATTTAACCAGGAAATCATAGGCCTACCCTGCAGGAGATGCCATCCAGGAAAAGGTCTCTCTCCTCAGGAAACCAGTCCAACTTCATGCAGACTGACAGAGGTGACCAGGGCCCACCAGAGAACCCTGAGCCCACAGTGTATGAGGAATACCCACAAATGTGGAGAACTGTGCTCAGTGAAGTTGGGAAACCTTCCTGAAGGTGATGGCTGTTGAACAGAGAAGGAACCGGAACTGGTGAGGAAGAAGGCAAGGCATGAGAGGGACAGTGAGGCAGAGAAATAATTCGAGGGAAAAACTCAAATTCTCAAGTGAAGAGCAGGGATCCAATTCAGAAGTAACCAGAGATGTTTCATCATTCAGAACTTCAGCAAAGGTTTAGGGGTCAACCCACAAGCCAACCCCTTGCCTCCCTCACCCAAAGTAAAAGTAAACCAGAAAAGACCTGCTAGACTCTCAGACAGCCTAGCAGAGACTGGTCCACAAACCACCACTTTCAGGAAGTTTGTTTCCTCCTGAAGTACATCTATCCCCATAGAGCTCCCACTGGAGACACAAAATCTCTAGATGTGCACAAAAGATATCTTCCCATGTCCACCCCCAGAAATAACAACTTGAATTGGGTGGATAGAGGATAAATGCTATTTAATTCCATACCAGGCAGCTTTAAGGAGAGGGGAAGTAGTTTCAATGAATTTTTAGATTAGTTATTAGAATGTGACCATTTTGGAGCTAAGAATTCATTTCTTTTAATTCTTTTGGAAAGATACGCAGCAGAGGGATGGCTGGGTCAAATGGAACCTCTAGTCCCAGCTCTTTGAGGTATCTCCGTATTGATTTCCATAGTGGGTGCACCAGCCTGCACTCCCACCAATGGAGAAGGGTTCCTTTCTCCCCACAACCCCGCCAACATTTGTTATTGTGTGATTTCTTGATAGCAGCCATTCTTTGTGGGGTGAGGTAGAATCTCAGTGTTGTAAAGGTACAAGATCCCAATAATGAATGTAACTGTACTGTATACCTAAAATGTACCAATAAACTCAATGAGGAAAAAAAATAAATGTTTCACTTTGAAAAATATTTACTAATGAAGTTATCAATATTAAATCTTTTCATTATTATGAATAAAATTAACTACTTGATGGATACAGCAATTACTGAGTTACTATTAAATAAATATTAATTAAAATATAGAAAAAGAATTCATTTCATAATCATTTCATTATTCCCTATACGTAGAAATTCAATTTTGTCCAACAATTGAGTGACATTGTAGATGAAGTACTGACCTTAATATAGAAACTCAAAAATTAGTAAAATATGAATCTCAACCTAAAACTATCTTATCCTGTAGGAAAGGAAATACCTTTTTATCAGAAGGTATAAAAGATTAAATGCCATGCCAGCTTTGAATCTCTGATAAAAATTGTATTTTCTATTCTCAGTAAAATAAACAATACTGCCAATCAGTCAACTGTCAGAATTAAAGAATCACAGAATTGAAACATATATTTCATCCTACCCACCCCACTCCCAACTGTTCATCTCATTCTCATTAGTTTTGAAAAATCATCAAAGGATGTGGTGATGAATCAGCCAAAAGGAAATGAGCTCTGTGCTTCTTTTTTTTTTAATTTAAATTGAATTTATTGGTACATTCTAGGTAGACAGTACAGTTACATTCATTACTGGGATCTTGTACTTTACATGACAGGTCTTGGTTCTCATTTTTCCCCCTTGTCCCACCCTCCCTTCACCCCCTTTTCCCTCCCCACCTACAAACACTTTAATTCCATTTTTACATTTTCTCACATTTTTTCCCTTTCTCTTATACTAAATAATTGCCTTCCCCTACCCTTCTCACTGTCCCTACACCTTTAGCCCTTTTCTTCCTATTTCACATCTAATTATCCCATTAGGATCTTGAGTACTATTTCAGTTTTTCATGCCAGAGAAACTATTCAGTATTTACACATGTGTGACTTATTTCACTTAAGAGTATATCCTGAATATGTGTCCATTTTCCTATGAATGATTCTAATTTCTCATTCTTTATGGCTGAGTAGTATTCCATTTTATAGAAAAACCACACCTTCATTATCCAGTTTCCAACTGATGGGCAGATGGGCTGTTTCCAAGTTTTAGTTATTACAAACTGTGCCGCTATAAACATGGGTGTGCATATATCACTGTGGTATGATTCTTTTAATTCTTTTGGAAAGATACCCACCAGAGGGATGGCTGGGTCAAATGGAACCTCTAATCCTAGTTCTTTGAGGTATCTCCATATTGACTTCCATAGTGGTTGCACCAGTCTGCACTCCCACCAACAATGGAGAAGGGTTCCTTTCTCCCCACAACCCCGCCAACATTTGTTATTGTGTGATTTCTTGATAGCAGCCATTCTTTGTGGGGTGAGGTGGAATCTCAGTGTTGTTTTCATCTGCATCTCTCAAATGACCAGTGATGTGGAACATTTTTTCATATATTTACTTGCTGCTTTTACTTCTTTATCTGAGAAATGTTCATTTCAGATGCCCATTTCTGAATTGGGTCTTTATATTTGGGGGGGCTGATTGTTTTGAGTTCTTTATATATTCTAGATAATAGTCCTTTGTCTGAGGAGCAGTTGGTAAAAATTTTTTCCCACATTGTAGGTTGTCTCTTAGTTCTGTTGATGGTTTCCTTTGCAGTGCAGAAGCTTTTTAATAAGATGAGATCCCACTTGTTGATTCTTTCTGCTAATTCCCGTGCTACTGAGGATTTGTTCACAAAGTCTTTTCCTATGCCAATGTCTTCAAGAGTTCTGCCTAACTTATCTTCCAGCAAGTTTAGTGTTTCTGTTTTTATATTTAGATCTTTAATCCACTTGGATTTTAATTTAGTGCATGGTGAGAGATAAGGGTCTAGTTTTAATCTTTGGCAGTTTGAGATCCAGTTTTTCCAACACCATTTATTAAAGAGGCTATCTTTCCTCCAGTGGGGATGGTCAGCTCCTTTGTCAAAGATGAGGTAGCGGAGTACATCTGGAGTTGTTTTTGTGTCTTCCAGTCTGTTCCACTGATCCTCAGGTCTGTTTCTTTGCCAGTATTGTGCGGTTTTTATCACAGTGGATTTGTAGTGTAGTTTCAAATTGGGAATTGTTATACCCACTTAAAAAAACTAAAAGGAGAAGGTAAAAAGTCAACAAAAGGACAATAACATGACAATAATAAGTCAATACATATCAGTTATAACCATCAATGTCAATGGCCTCCACTCACCAATCAAGAGAAATAGACTGGCAGAATGGATTAAGAAGCAAAATCCAACAATATGTTGTATACAAGAAACACAGCTAGTGCAAGAAGAAGCCCATAGACTGAAAGTGAAAGGATGCAAAACAATTATTATGTGACAGGAGCCCAGAAAAAAGCAGCGGTAGCAATCTTATTCACAAACAAAGTAAATTTCAAACCAAAACTGGTTAAAAGAGACAAAGAAGGCCACTACATCCTTGTAAAGGGAACAATTCAAGAGGAAGAGATGACAATCATAAACATATGTGCACCAAATACTAATGCCCCCAACTGTATAAAAGAAATATTAAGAAACATGAAAAACCAAATAAGCACTAATACAATTGTAGTGGGGGATCTAAATACCCCATTTTCACAAATAGATCATCTAGGCCAAAAGTTAAAACGAAATACCAGAATTGAACCAAGCTTTTGAAAGCATGGACTTAGTAGATGTTTATAGAGTGTATAACTTTTAATGAGTGAGTTTAAAATTATTTAATTTTCTCAGAAATATAGCACCATTTGGAAAAAACTAGTGTTATGAAGAATGTAAATGCACTGCTTTTATTTTTATTTTATGTAATTTAAATTGACTTTCCCACTATCTTTAAGTTGAAACTGTTAAACTGAATAAAAAGTTAAGCTGAAAATTGATAACTTCGCTACATAATAAGGAGCATATACATGTTTACAAAGAGCTTAAAGATTTGCATGTGCAGTGTGCATTTATATGAAACTTCTAATTGCAGAAAACCCATGCCAGCTCACAGTTTAGGTGTACACATTTACCCAATTGAGCATTTTTAGAATAACTACTGCACTGATTGACAACACATCATTTTGCTCTTTTTTTTCAACCCCTTTTTTTTCTCCCCACCCCACCCCATCTTATGAAAAGATTCTTGGATTGAAAAAAGCCCCATGCTGAAAGGACTGGACAGCCTTGATTGACATGGGGAAGGGGGTTAGTAGACTATGTGTATCGGCAGCAAAGGCCACAGCCCAATGTGTGGTTTTAATGACCAGCACACAGGGCAAAAGCATTTTGCACCATGTTTGTTTTCCTGTCTTGCACTTACCAATAAGGTCCATAGGAGTAGCATGGAAAATGTTTGCTGCTTTCCCCTTTTTAAAAAAAATTGCTCTTGTTTAAAATTCGATCGCCTTAACTACTGTAAACATAGCCTATTTTTGTGCATAAAATACTGAATGGAAAACTCCACTGTGTGTTGCTGGACTGTTTTAGAAATATTTGGTCAAATGTGAGTTAATTTGGCTATAATGGCATTTAAAAACAACAAAAAGAAAGCTGTGGAAATGACCCTAGAGCATTATCTTTAGTTACTTGAAAAGTTTCTACTTTTTTAAAATACAGTTTATGTTAAAATAATTTTTAGTAATTTAGAGAAGACAATCAATGTCTGTGAGAAAAATGGACTTTCTTTTTCTGGTCACTGTGAGTGATTGAGTCTTCCTTTTCTTAGTTTCCCATTCTTCCTTTGTTCTAAAACTTAGACTG